ACCAATATTTCAAACTCCTAAAAAAAATGAATTAGAAAGTTCTCTTGGACGTGCACAAGCTTATCAATAATAATAAATAACTATGCCAAAAGTAAGTTATTTAGAATAGCTTGTGAATTTCTTCCGTTACTCCTTGTAAAGTTTCCTGTTAACGTTTACTTCTGTGGGTTTTGTTTATTTTACGGTTTCTCATCTATGGAAACAGTGCGCCCTGACAGAAAAATTTGGCTACACTCACAGCTATCAGCCGTCCCCACACGGACATGCCGACTCCCTCCGGGAACAACAGCCGAACCCCCGGCTCGATCGTCAGGGTCGCCGCCTCACCGAGGATGATTTCATCGGTGACGTTGTACGGACTTCCCGACATTCTGATCGTGTGGTCCCAGTAGTATGATCCACCTATGTCGTCAGAAACTCCACCGGACAAAAATCCAAGTAACAGCAGAGAGACCAGAAAAACGCGCCGCCACAGAGGCCCCATGGTGGCGACTGACTGAGTCAACCTGCGCAGGACTTAGCTTGTACGTGTGTTTGCATACTGAACTTATTTACACTCATCTGGCGTATCTTCTTGCATACACAACAAAAAAGGCTCTCCGGTATGTTGCAAAGCTCCGATAGTGATCGGTCCGTGAAGTGTAGCGGTCGATGACACTGTTGTTGACACCAGCCCACTCTGAAGCCCCGTCACACATGGCCGTGTCCTCTCGGACACTGCCCGGTCACTCCAAAACATGCCACGGCTTACACTAACTCTAAATTATTCAAAAGGTTAGGGTGTGCACTAATGATCGCTGTTGACAAGAGAATGATGACCATAATAGTAGATTTGACCGGGCCATTAATCATATAAATGGCCCCTCAACTTTGGCAGTATCTCCGCAAACGTTTGGATTGGTCAAATAAAGAAGTTGGCCAAGTTTCACCTCTTGAATGACGCAGGTAAAGAAAATTGTACCGAAAAAAAATCTTGAAGCCCGGGTAAAGAGTCTTATGTCTATGTGCAAGGTTGGCAGATGTAACTTGTGTCATGTAGTAAAGAAATATGTTGGTTTTTTATGCTTGGATTGTGACGGTATTTCAGCTGGTGTATAAATGCGCAGTATTACGCAACCTACTGCAGTTCAATCGACCTTCGCAGAGGGCAATTTTAAAGTATACATTACAGGCCTATACGCCAACAAAATTCATTTTGTAGGTTATACCTTACACTCAAACATATTAGCTTTTCGTAGTCGTGAAAAGATTCCTTGCCATATTTTTTGCAAGGGACACATGCCATCGGGAGCAAATGTGACGCCATAAATGCACCATGGTGGCCACTGACTTGGTGGTCATACTGCACTGGACATGCATGTGTGTTTGCATATCTTATATACACTCACCGTGCGTACAACAAAACAGCTTTTTGTTATTGCATACCTTGTTCCATGAGGCGTAGCTAGCTGTTAACCCTTGTTAGAGCCGGTCCACAGTGAAGAATAACACAACGTTATGCGTCTTTCGTAAATTCAAAAGCAGGAAAATGACGGTGTACACAATCCTATCAGTTTTAAAGCCCAGTTCACGGGAAATTGTTTAGACAAACAATAATTCAGTATTTAATATTGCAAGTTATTGTCTGTTTCCTCTGTTTATAGAACTATATGACAGTTTACTAGAAAAAGTGGTACGCTAGGGGCTTCTGCATTGTCAACCTGTTTTTTTGTCTATCTTCTAGCCCTATACTTAGCCGCTCTGTTACTTGTTAATACAGGCAGGCATTTGATCGACCACGCTGCTATTATATTATTACATTCCTCACCTGCTGTGTCATTATTTGCACTTGTAAAGGCGGACACGCTTACTGATAAACGTCTAAGTCAGTGGGTTCACCCGTGTGGGTTGAGGTTGGCTGAGAAGAAATAGTACCTCGTCATGTTGGCCTCTGAAATTCTTCTACCATTACCGTTGCAGGTATTTGCGGCTTTTGAAAGATAGACAAGTGGAATGCCTGACACGCCGGTGCTTGATGGCAGTCCTGGCTCATGTTTTCATAACATCCCTACAGTAATGTATCCTCTACGGTTTGCTGACATTGGAGATTTTCCAACCAGGAAGAAAATTCCACATAAAAAAGTCTCAGCACTTTGTTTTCCTTTGCAAACGACAATATCTGTTAGGGGTGGTGGTGACGACAAAAATGAAATCTAGTCAATGTGATACACTTTTACTGACTTTGGAACATTTCCAATAAGGCAAAAAAACACAGATAATAATATAGGAACATTGTACGTATGTTTATCTGTCTAGCTTGCTCGTTTTCACTAAAAGTGTCAAGTCTTTGACAACGACAATTTTGTTTTTATGAAAATAGAGATAGAATAATGATTGCAATTTTGTTGACTACATTGATTTAGCTGTCCCCAAAGATAATCTAAAACCACTGTTCAGTGCTACCACAGTATCTTTGTGATGTGTAATTATAATTTAAAAACTTACAAACTCACGCACGCACACACATACAACCAAATTCGATCTTCTTTAATTTATGGCCTGTTTCTTTACTTCCTCTCTTGTGTATATGTCCTTATTCAATTATTAATGTATGTTTTCTGATTGTTAATTGTCTTTATTGATTGTATTCATCACAATTCTAGGAAAACCCTTCAATAAATATTGTAGGTTTCTGTTTTCCTCTGCACATTCCTTTCCTTAGTTTCTACAAAATGATTTGTCTTGCTTTATGTACAGAAATTATAAACTAGAAAACCAGAAAGTTTTAACTTAACACACTAATAATATAAAAAAATGTTGCCAACATTATTTTAGGAAAAGTCACTAAGTTTGGTGGTTCTAGTGGG